TCCTGTAGCAGATCGAGGATGATTCTACTCCGCCACTGGGACAACCAATCCCTCCACGGTCCGTTCTTTCGTTTTGATGGTAAATTGGTACTGATGCATGCCATCAGCTTTTTTACAAGCGGCCTTCTAAAGGAATCCATTGGCAGCGGGTGTTTCCTGCTGGCACTAGCCTTGAGCCCCTGATTCTTGTAGAGCAAAAATACGGAAGAAAAGAGAGTTTAATTAGTTTGCGTATTCTGTTAAATTCCTTTTTCTTTGTTTGTTTTTAAAAACGTTATTTTAGCAAGTAAGTATTTTGTTTGTTACAGAAAGCTTGGCACACCATCATCAAGCGAATGGCCACCACATGCTGTAATCGAGCGTTCTTTTTACCCATCCTATCCAGGATTATCACTGCGTCGCATAGCACCCAAACTTCCACCAGATGCAGCTAAACTTGTAAAGGTTTGTTTTGCTTTACAACGGAAGTTCGTGGGTTTTATGTGCACATTTTTGGCAATAAACATGATTATGGAATGGCGGATGATTAAATTACTGATGGAGTTACTCGTGATGTTTGAAAGTTAGTTAATGTGGCCCCGTAAGCCACTGCGTTGAATTCTGATGTAGTTCTTTTGCTTACTGACCGTCATGAATTGATGAACTGAAGAACGCAAGAGTGGGGAAAAGTGCGGTATCTATACCTGAAAGAACAAAAAAAAAGTATTAGGGCTGTGAGCATGTTCATAATTGAGTGTAATAGGGTAGCAACTCCATCGATGATGCAAAAACGGCACTCTGATCTGAATTTTAAGGCAAATCTCAAAAAATTTGTTCCCTGAGGGCATTTTGCGTCATGGAAGCTTCCTGGGGATTGTTTCGTGGAGCATGGTTTTCTACCGATCTAAATGTCGAAAGCAGATCATTTATTCCCTTCCCCCCAAAACTTTGCGAAACAGCTTGAAGGGTATTTAATTCTCTGGAACTCAGGCTTACCTGTACTGTTGAAGAGGATGTGCTTCAGCCTGTAAACACTTTGATTCAGAAGGTTATCAGCTTTTGCTTATAATGGTAACTGTTATATGTTAATTTGTTCTCAAAGTTTTGCGGAATTTCTCGACATTTTGCCCTAATTTAGCCATGCTGTTTCTCCGAAACCATGCAGAGGTACCTGAACGGGATATGAGCAATCGTAGCATTTAATGAATACAGACAGGCCGCGCATTTCTATGGCGGAATTTTTTACGGGCGCATTGCCAGACACCCAAACCATCTTCAGTTTTGTTCATAAAGGCTTGTAGAAAAAGGCTGTATGAATGATTGTTTAATGCGCTAATTAGCTGTCTTCCGGTCGTAATTTGGAGAATTTTTGCTTCTGGTGAAACTTTTGTCTTAAAATTACCCGTACCTTTTATCGTTTTGAACGACGAAAAACGTCTTGAACGACAAAATCTGTTTTTAAAAATTTGGGAAAAAAAATTTTTGAGGTAATTTTTTTTCAGTGTATGTTAGCATTTATGCCAGATGCAAGGCCATCATGTACGGAGGCGTTGA